GAGCAGAGGCGAGGGCCGTATCCTCTCCCCGCCTAGCCATGGGTGTGTGGAAAGTGTGCAGTGCTCAGGGCTTGCTCTGCGTCTGGCAGAGCATGGTGGGAGCCTGTGGTCCCCTGTTCTAGTGGGAAGGGCAGTGGGGCTGTCTGGAGCTGCGGCCTGGATTCTGGGGACCCAGCAGCAGCTGAGCTACAGGGACTCACCAGATGGCTCTCGCTCTGTTGTCCCCCATATGGGACTGAGCGGGTTTCTGGGGTGCTCTTGGCTTCTTCCCCCACCTTTGGGGCTGGAAAAGCCCAAACCCGTGACTGTCCTTGTTCTCTCTGTTTCTGTGCTCACCAAGTCCAGCTGCTCTGTACCTCCTTCTACCGTAACTTACCACTAACTTGCCTTCCGTCAGTGTTTAGGACGCAAAGACTTTATGCAGGTAAGCTTTCAATTAGATGCTTAGTAACTAAGTGGTGATGGAATAGAACAGATAATACAACAATCTGTGCGGAGAGGGGTGCTGGAATTAAATGGTAGGCAGAAGGTCTCCAGTTTAGGATGGCTTGATTTTGGATTTTACCATGATATATAAGGTGTAACCACACAACTAAACTGTTTTCAATTTCAGTGTAATACTCATGGAATTACATGAGATATTCAATACTTTATTATAGGATAGGCTTTGTGTGAGGTGATTTTTGTTCAGTTGTAATTCGGTGGAATTGACCTTGACATTTAAGGTAAGGTAAAGTAAGCTAGGCTACACTATCAGGTAAGTTAGGTATTAAACCAATACTATTCATTAACGAGTCAGGTGTTCATGCATGTTTTTCCTTATGATATTTTCAACTTAGCATGGATCTATCAGGACACAACTCCATTGTTAGTAAAGAAGCATCTGTTATGGACGTACCATATTCTACCTCTTTAACACCAAGTGGTATGGATAAAATCAAGGTCTAAAAGATCATTATATGTGTAATCATTTAATTTATAGTTCTTTTACTTAGATCATTCTCGTTTTTAGAAATCATACTGCAGTGAATATTTTCTGCTCAGTTTTTCTTCTTTACTTTCACGATGTGGAGCGCTGACCCCAGGGCTGTGGTACTCCTGTCGTTTGTAATGTACTTCTTTCTGTCTGAGGCACACTGATGTGTGAAGACACCCGCAGGAGACATCCTTGTTAGTCCCCAGAGCTTGGCACTCCCTGCAGAGCTTCCTGCAGGGCCAGAGGACCAGCAGAGTTTGGAGGGGAGATGGTGGTGGAGCTGTGAGACCAGAGTGACCGGGGAGGTGCTACCTTGATCTCCACGGGGATTCTCTGCAGAGCTGACTAGAGATCTCCAGGCCTTTCTCCGGTCCAGGGAGGTGTTGTGTGTGGAGTTCACTAGCGGCATCCACCATCCACTGTCCACTGTGGGGGTAGGACTAGGAAGCAGCAACACCTTTGCCTGTGAGTTGTGGTTCTTTACCTTAGGATAGCAGACTAAAAGGGCGTTGCCACCGTTCTGGGACAGAGGGTGGACTTGGGCTTGGCTTTCACCAGCAGGTGGTGACTTGGATTTTATAAGATTGCAGCCCAAAGTTTGTGGTCTTGATTTCACAGTTGCAGGTTTACATGTGGTTAACTAGTAGGTTAATTGGGACAGCAGAGATCGTCGTAATAGTCTGTGGCTGCTTCCCAAGAACTATATGAGGGGCAGGAGAGCAGCTCAGTGGGACTCAGTAAGTAGGTGGTTTGCTTGGCCCTGATACCTGTCTGATGCCAACTGCACAAAAGAGAAGATTGGTGACCCCTTGGGAGAGTTCCACGGAGATCAATCCTGGGCCATGGACTCAGAACTGGTCCTGTTTTCTGCTCCTCAGAGACAGCAGGGTCCCCCCCCCCCCGCCCATTCACTGCTGTCCATGTCACCGAAGCTCTGTCTTCCAAACACGAGGCTGTGAGGGATTGGAGCTGCACGAGGTGAAACTAGAAAGCACTCACAAAAGGTCTGTGAGCTCTGGGAATTGGCAACTTTTTAGAGAAATTAGTGCTTGATTGATCCGACTTGCTAGGAGCCCTGAGAGAACTGGACGGGGATTCAGAATGTTTGGTCTTGACTCTGCAGCCAGCTGTGTGACCTTCAGGAAGTCTTCCTGTTGCAAAACCAGAGGACTGAACAAGAGGGGTTGTGACAGTCTTGGGATCTTGGAAATGGAAGACATGCCCAGGATCGTACCTCAGTCGGAGGAGGGCCACTGAAAATAAAGTGGCTCCAAGCTGTGGGCTGCAGGGCTCCCCAGCCACTTCCCGGTCCCCGGGCTCTGCCTTCACCCTCGGCCCTGCTGTGTTTTCTGCTCCCCTCTGTGTTTTCACGTGTGGCCCTCGTGACTCACTGGGCCTCTCCTTTGGGGTGTGTGTGTGTCTCCACTGTCTCCTTGGGTCCCAGTCCCAACAGGCTGAGGCAGAAAAGGAAATCACAGTGCCCAGGGCACAGCTCTGCCAGCTACTGTGGGCAGGTCCTCCCCTTGCGGCCAGCTGAGGAACAGCAGTGCAGAGCCCGCTGGCTGGTCACAGGCAGGGTTTCCTTTGGGGTGGGGGTGTCAGGGATTGAACTCAGGACCTTGCACTTGCCAGGAAAGCGCTTGTGCCACTGAGCTATATCCCTGGCCCCAAGAATGTTTCCTTTTTTGAGACAAACCCAAAATTCGACTATCTGTTAAGCATATGAAAGAGAAGTGCTGAGAATAAACTTGTTCAAAAGAAAAAAAGAGGAGAGACAGAGGGACAGAGAGACAGAGAAACAGTGCTGACCATCCAGTGTCTCAGCTCAGCTCTAAGCCAGCTGGCTGCACTGACTCCTGGGAAAGCAGAGCCCTTTGAAGGTGAGGGGTGGAGTTTCAGGTTCCAGGTCGGTCTTGCCTTTAGCCTGGCTCCACTGCCTGCTTTGGGGGCTTGGGTACAAGAGCCCAGCCCTTGCTTGGGTGGAGTAAATGGATTGACACCAAAACAGCAGCCCGGATGGGCAGGTGAGGTGGCCTGGGGCCTAGGGGTGATTCAGGAGCAAAGAATGAATAAGTAAGGACCCCGAGCTTGGGGAGAGGCCCCTGACACATGGCAGTGCGTGAAGCGGCTCGCCTTCAGGAGGCTGGAAGAGACGTCTGGCTCATCTTGGGGTGCGGGGCTGCCTTCTTTTCCCATTTCTGGAAGTGTGAGCTCTCTCCTGCATGTTACCTGTGGCTGAGCGGAAGGTGCTGGGCCTCTTCAGGGCCAATGTGGGGACCCGGCTTGGGCCACAGGAAGGAGCTGTGGGCACTGGGACCCTTCTGCTGCCCACTGTAGAGGAGCTGCCTGGGCCTTGGCCTTGGGGAGCAGGACCCAAGGAGTGTCACCAGTTGAGGCCCCATGCCCTGGATGCGTGGGAACTGTCCCCAAGCATAGGATCTAGAAGGAACCTGAATACTTTAGACTGTATGGGATTTCTAATTTTATTTCATGTATTTTCACCATTTTCTCCTTGGTCTTTTAGCGGGTTTGTAATTCAGGAGAACCACAGCACCTCTTCCCTTTCCTTGTTGACTATGTCTTGCGTTTGTTGCTGATCCATCTCAAAATGTCTCTGAGATTTCTCGAGACACAACTCTACCGGCAATATGCGCGTCTGTGCTGAGAAACCAGGACCCTTGCCTCTCTCCTGCTGCCTCTCCAAAGAGCAGTGCTTACCTACAGGGGGCAGTGGCTTTGCTGGACTTTGTGCTGCTCTCTGGGCAATTTTCTAATTTCTCTTTTGCCCAATTTTAATTTCTACCATTGCTATTTTGATTTCTAAATGATTGCTCTTATTTTCTGATATCTTTTAAGAGAGGCCTCTGTTCTTCTTCTGTCGGGGCTCAAGGTCTGATTTTCATAGCTGAGTATTTGAAAGGTTAAAATGCAAATTGAAAGTTCCCTTTGCACTGAGGCTTGTGGGTGGGCACATATGTGGTCTTTAGTGGGGAACCCTAATATTAGACTTGGGGGATTTTTTTTTCTCTTACCCAAGCTTATCTGGGCCTGTAAGGCTCAGGGGTCAGCACCTGGCCTTCCCCTAGCATGTGAGATGTTTCTAAGCCCGGCTTTCCTGGATGGTGGTCTTTCCATTTCTTTCTGGGGCTCCAGGATAAGTCTGTATGCAGCCTGCAGCCGTCCTCATTGGCTGGAATTCGCAGGCACCGTTAACCTGCTGTCCACCTGTCCCCCCTTGCCAGCCCTTGGGATCACCACTCTTTCTCAGGTCCTGCATCCTCCTGGATGTGTAGATGCCTCCTCCTGAGGGCAGTTTCTTCTGTCTCTTTGACCTTGTGAGTTGATGTCTTTTGCTTCCTCAGCCACTTTGCAAGTGTGTAGGAAGGGAAGGGAAGTAAACACAGGTATTCTGTTACCAGCATGCAACTGGACCACTGTCCCAAACAGCTTTAGAAAATTGTTGAACTGAAAAAGATTTGAGACAAGACCTTTAGAAGGATTAAGCACAACTGGAGTTTATTATCCAACCACCAAATTCCAAAGAGAAAACGTTAGAAATATAGAGATAAAAATTCTCTATGTCTCACAGGGTGCTTGCTACCTACAGAAACAGATTGTGTTTTTCTGGTTTTTTTTTTTTTTTTTTTTTTTTGAGGGCTAATAAGATTTTAAGTAAAACCAACTGTATTTTTAGTGAAGCTATGTGTTGTCATATGTAGTCTCTGAACCTGCCTCTGCCCATTTCCAGATTTCTGGATATGCGTGTGCCGTGAGCGCGCTCACTCTGGGTTATTTATCATAGGTGAGTGGGACATGTTTGTGAAACTTGTCTTTGCAATGCCTCTTCATGTCCTATAACAGCAATATGAGTACAGTGTAGAAAAGACCAGTGAGAGCTCTCGCTGCGCCCTCCTCCACCCCAGGCCCATCTGCTGGAAGCGGCCAGTCCTGTCCTCCAGCTATGCGGTCACGTTGGGTCAGAGTTGTCCCTGATAGTCATGGCCACGTCCTCTTTCTCTCCTAGGACACCGGGGTTGGAAAGTCGAGCATTGTGTGTCGCTTTGTCCAGGACCATTTTGACCACAACATCAGCCCGACCATTGGGTAAGTTGCTGTGTGTTCTTTCTTTCTGGGGCCCTTCGGGCGATCACTGCCTCTGGCCGAGCCTTTCGCAGGCCACTGCTGCCCTCCTCATCTGCGAAGCAGTCCTGACTGAATAGCAGGCCAGAAATTCAGCAGTCTCTGAGCCATAGGTCCAGAGAGTGTCTGTGGAGAGGAACCCTGTGCCTGGGTGCCTTTAAAACAGCAGGAGAGGAGCCCCTGTGGGAGCTCTGTCCCTCTCTTCCTGGGCCACCTGCTGCAAATAGATGCTCAGAATGGCCCTGGAAAGAGCCCTGACTCTGCTTGCAAGACATGCACCTGGGAGGCACCCCAGGGCAACTGTCCCTGGATGTGACCACTCGAGGATTAGGGACAGTGCTTACGGGGCAGTTCCTCACGCTACCCTGGATGTTCTTTTCATTTTCTTTAACTATTTGTTTTGTATTTTTTGATGATAAAAGTAAAGCCACTAACACATTGTGAAACATGGTTCTGGATGATGGGGGGACAGACTTTTGTCTTCTACTTTCTAAACTTATTTTAAAACATTTAAGGTGACAAATATGTACACTTTTGTAATGCTTTTTCTTTCAAATAAAAAGGCAGTGCATGGTGAGACCACAGACTGTGCTGGGTTACCCAAGTGTCCACCATGGGGCCATCTTGGTCACAGTGTGTCAGTCAAAGTGGGCCACAGGTCAGGCCAGGGTCAAGGACAGAGAAATAAACTCTGCTCTTGAAGGAAGGAGCAGCACATGAACAAGGACTCTGGAGTCAGTGTTGGTGGCCATTGTGGACAGCACAACAGGTGACCATGCTTTGTCTAATAAATGCATTTGGGTGATTTGAGGTTTATAAAAAGTTATTGCTGACATGGTGTGCATGGCTGTAATGCCAGTGTATCTCGAGAAGGTGAGGCAGGGAGGTTCTTAAATTTAAGCACAGACCTGATAATTTAGTGATATAGTGGGACCTTGTCTCAAAAACATTTAAGTATTTGCATCTCTCAAGTGATCAGTGATGTTGAACATTTTTTCATATATTTATTTGTTGTTTGTATTTGAGAAATGTGTATTCATCTCAGATGCCTACTTTTGGATTGTGTCTTTAAATTTGCGAGGTATGATTTTTAAAAAAATTTTTATATGTTCTAGATATTAGTCCTTTTTTTAAAAAAAAAAAGAGGGAAGGGGCTGGGGATTTAGCTCAGTGGCATAAGCACCTGCCTTGCAAGCAGGCGGTCGTGAGTTCGATCCCCGGTACCAGAAAAAAGAAAGAAAAAAAAAAAAAGTTCAAAAAAAAAAAAAAAAGAGGGAAAACAATAAAAATCAATCAAAACAAACCAGTGTAAAATATACAGGACTTCAAAACATTATGAAATCAACAATAGTTACCATAATGCCTTTTGATGTCTTCAAAATAGCTGCAGATAACTTCAGACACAGTAAAAGTCAAACAGAACAGAATAGAATAGAAACAATAAAAATAAAAAATGAATGCAATAAAGGACTTCAAAACAATAGTAAATCCAAAATGGCTTCCATAATATATCGTGCTGTCTTTGAAACAGCTGCTCATGCCATCGGATTTGACAAAATCAAACAAAACAAAAGAGAATAAAACCCAACCCAACAAAATAATGGAAAAGATATAGGACTTCCAAAACAGGACCATAGGGAATCAACAATGGCTGCAGCCCTCAGAAGGAGATGCCCCCTAGATACCCCACTACGTATCCCTATCCTCTGAACCCATGATCAGACCACTGGCCCTGGACTTGCAATGTTAGTGAAACACCAGAGCACCACGGCATCCGATTGCATTTCACCCCATAGCTATCACCACAGCCTGTGTTTCTCCGGATAAGCTGGTCACTAAGCCGGTCACTTACAGCGGGGGTGGGGGCGGGGGAATGGTGCTTCTTGTATTGCCAGCCGGCACAGTGGAAGGGGCTGAGGTCTGGCTTTTTCCAGTCCGGTGGCAGCCCACACATGGCGCTGATTCCTAGACTGGGCTTGCTTGCTGGTCTGCCTTTGTTCTCTTTTCCCCCAGTCTGTGAATGGCACTGAGAGAGAGGCTTGGATCTGGCTGTTCCTGGTCTGGTGGTGGCCTGCACATGGTGCTGGATCCCACACTGGGCTGCTTGCTGGTGTTGATATAAGTCTTTTTAAAGTCTGAGGGACAACTAACTAAACTTTTTCCCACTCTGTGGGTTGTCATTTCACTCTGTTGGTGATTTTTTTTGACATGCAAAAGCTTTTTAGTAGGATGAGATTCCAGTTATTGGTTTCTTATAGTATTTCTCATTCAGGCATGGTTTTGTTCCTGAAAACTTTGCCTACACCTATGTCTTCAAGAGTTCTGTGGATTCCAGCATATTTAGTGTTCTTGTTACAATATTTAGATCTTTGATCCATTTCTATTTCAGTTTACTACATGGTGAAAGATATGGGTCCAATTTTAATCTTTGATTGTGTGGAGATCCAGTTTTTCCAGCACCATTTATTAAAGAAGTTATTTTATTTTAGTGAATGTGTTTGGCACCTTTGTCAAAGATATGGTAGCTGAGTGTGTATGGAGTTGTTTCTGCATCTTCTATTTCTTGTTTTTTTTTTATCCTCAAAGGTCTGTGTTTTTGTTTTTGCTAGTACCATGCTATTTTTATCACAGTCACTTTGTAATATAATTTCAAGTTAGGGATTGTGATACCCCCCTCCCTTGCCTTGATTACTGAGAACTGTTTTTGCTACTCTAGGTCTCTATTTTAGGTATGTTTTCTCTAGTTCTGTTAGGCATGCTAATGGTACTTTGGTTGAGATTGCATTAAACCTGCATAACGATTTTGGGAGTATGGCCATTTTTGCTGTGCTGGCTTTTCCTATCCATAAGCAAGTGATAGTGTTCCATTTTCTGATATCCTCTTTTGTTTTTCAGTGTATTGTAATTTTAGTGTATAGAAATTTCACATCCTTTGTCAGATTGATTCCTATCTCACTTTTTGGATGCTATTGTGAAAGATGAGTTTATCCTAATTTGTCTGTCAGTGAGTTTGTGTTTGTTTACAGGAATGATGTTGATACTCCAGAAAGTGGCTGTCATCAAGAAATCAACCAATAACAAATGCTGGAGAGGCTGTGGGTAAAAAGTAACCTTTCTCCAGTGTTGGTGGCAGTGTAGATGATGCACCCACAGTGGAAAACAGTGGAGATTCCTCAAAAAACCAGGATTGGCCAGGTGTGGTGATGCATGCCTGTAATGCCAGCACTTAGGCTGAGGCAGGAGGATCACTGTGAGTTCGAGGCCTGCGTGGGTTACATAGTGAGTTCATGGCCAACCTAAACTACATAGTTAAAACTTGTCGCAAAAAGACAATAATAAATAAATAAACTAGAATTAGAGTCCTATTTGACCAGCTCTTCCCTTTTGGGTATTTCTCAGAAGAATTAAAAATGTCATACTACAGTGATAGATGCACACCCATGTTTATAGCAGCACAGTTTGTAACAGCTAAATCTTAGAAACAACCCAGATGCCCATCAGTTGAAGAATGGACTCATTTTGCTCAGTTTTTCTGTAAAGCTAAAACTTAGCTAACAAAGCATCAATTAAAAATTATACTGTTAGCTGTAGTGTTAGTTTTTAATGTAATACTCACTATAAAAACCTTTTAAACATATGGAAATACAGAAAATAAAGTTAAGAGTAAAGCCACAGGACCTTGCTGGCTTCCCTTGCCATATCCTTCAGTTGACAGAACTAATAGATGAGCCCAAGAGGCGGCTTCATGCAGTCAGTGTTCTCTGTGTAGCTAGGTCTTCTGATAATGATTTCCGGAGATGAAGGTTTTTAGCACCGTTACCCACACACGGCAGCCCGGTGCCTGCCCAGTGGGTGCTCCCCACTCTCTTTCCTGGCTTGATTTCCTTGACAGAGCCAAGAGTAAAGGCTCAGTGCTCTGACTGCAAAGCCCACTCTGGGCTGGGGCTCAGAGGCAGAGCCCATACTGTACCAGCAAGGGCCAGGGGGTCATGTCACTCTGAAACCTTAAGCATCCAGACTTTCTAGAAATAAGAATATGTATATTAATCTTGTCATGTACTTTATACATTTGGACAGTTTCTGATGTTACGTAATCTTCAAAACCATGATAAAAATCATACATTTTTCTGACTGTGAAGTATTATATACATATGATAAACACTTGGAAATGAAGAAAATCGTGAGTAAAGATATAAAAATTATTGATAATCTGCCTTCCAGAGGTAATCACGTAAAACATTTGTTATACTTTCTTCCATCTTTTTCCATTGTATGTTTTATAAAATGTATTATATAGTTTATATTTTTAAATTTTTTTATTTTAAAGAAATCAAACCAAACCAAACAGAATAAAGCTGATCAGAACAAAACAATGACATCAGTACAGGACTTCAAAGCAAGATAGTAGGAAATCAACAATGGCTACCATAATACATCCTATTATCTTCAAAATATCTGCCCATTCCATCAGACACAGTTAAAACAAACAGAACAGGCTGGGGATTTAGCTCAGCGGCATAAGCGCCTGCCTTGCAAGCAGGCAGTCGTGAGTTTGATCCCCAGTACCGATAAAAAGGAAAAAGACAAAAAAAAAAAAAAAAAAAGGCAAACAGAACAAGACAGAATAAAGCCAAACCTAACAAAACAATGAAAGTAATACAGGAATTCAAAACAAGATAATAGAAAATTAACAGTGGTTACTACCTTCTCTTTTTAGATGTTTCTTCCTCTATCACTTTCGTAATATCTATTGTACATTTTTGATCCCACTAACTTTTTCAGTTTTTTATGCTAGGAGATAATCCAGTGTTCACTCATGTGAGTCTGAACCATTTCACCCATGAGCACGATCTTGAGTTGCATCCTTTTACCTACAAGAGCTTTGAGATTATCCTTCTTTCTAGCTGAGTAGCTTTCCATTATATGAGAATGCTGTATCTTTATTATCCATTCTGTGATAGATG